AAATTACTGGTTGATATGTCCCGATCTCAATAAAGTTTACACATGCTTTTGGTCCGTGAATTAGATCTCGCTCGGGACGCGCGCTGTCTGTGGAGGTTTGGCCAGGACCGGTTCCAGAATTAAATCAACATATTTTATGTTCCGTCCATTGCCAATCACTGCTATTTTGAGAGTGAATCCTGCATACGTATGCGGATGTCATTCCCGAAACTTTGCAGAGTGTAGCCTATGTGTCCGAAAAACGAAAGTTTCATACAAATTCTAAATGGATTATACCATAGAAAGTGCGCAAAGCGCACTCGCTTTATCACTAAAAAGTGTCACTTATCTTCATTCATCGCGATCTTACAAAGTTGTTATAATCAATGAAGCTCTCTAAACTACACAATGAATCTCTTATTTACATCACGTCTGCACTTAGTCATGAGATGATTCACGAGCGTGCAAAACTGCACTTAAAAACTGCCGCGCTTGGCCTTAACTAATGGAGTTGTGAGTACTTTGGACAAAAAGGCACAGGAAACACTGCCTTAATCAAAATGCAAAAAGGTACTAAAAGTAAGACAATAAATTAGCTGTACAGAAAGGACGAACATCTAAATTTACAGCCACTAATAATGAACAAAACAAAAACACTGAACCATGAAATTTAAAGACAAACAACGTCAAATTTAAAGGCATGCCGACCTGTGTGTTCTGCAAGCTGGGAGTAACGGCAGCAGCCCCCCCTCCACCTCCCCCTCCCCTCCCTTCATATAGTCTGTGGGGAAGGTCCCTCTGCAAGCTCCCGTCTACACTAGGGTCCACCGCACCTGTGAAAAAATAAAAGACACGTTACACCTTCAGCTTGAAATTAGAGTATCCTCCCAGGACCGCTCTCCAAACCAGAGTAATTCACTTCACACGCACACCCCTGACAATCTGACATTTCCCGCTCTACTGATGTATCCCGCACAGGTCTGGTACGGCATGTTTTGTTTGTGTTGCGCTGGGGAGTATTCAGCGAGAGTGACATCAAATGCAGCCACCCTGGGGTGTCTGGGAGTAGAGACTCCTGCTATAACCCGCTTCCCTCTGCTCACAAACTGCGTCCTTCCGAAAGGTTATCATAGAGCTGCTTTGTCGCTCCTAATCCAAAATTCATTACATATAGCAGTTACCACACTTTAATACGATACGTTTCCTGAACGGCTGGGTGAGCTCCTTCACAGTTCGATGGGAGGTAAGGACAGCGTAAAACAAAGGGTAAAATTGACAGAGATGCTTTGTGAAATTGCAAAAGCATCATAAACATGTAGAATGGTATGTCTCAGCAGCAAATCTAATTTACTGACCTCGCAACCGATCGCACGTTGCCAGGTAAGCCAATTAAGTGCCTATTAACCCTGTATAAGTGATAGGGGTGGAGAATCTTTGGTTTCTTGGCATGAACGGCCACCCTGTGACAGGAGTACCGGGGCCGCTTTCTGAGTGACAGCAACGGGAAGGTCAGCCGGTAATGTGCGGCATGAATGTGCAAGTGATAATGACAGGGCCCTCTCATCGTACCCGGCTCGAATAGTTGCTAACTGGATTGGATGGCCGACCATCACATCTCTATGAGCATGATACACATATGTTCTAAGCTGACAAGAATAGGATCAGCGGATGACGATGTGCAGCAATGCCTGCGATGGAGCAAACACTGGAACACTGAGTCTCTGTTGTGCTGGTCAAATTGCAAAAGTAAGACATAAGAAGAAGAGCCAAGTTTCTAACTCATCCAAGCAGCTGTTTCAAAGCAGTTTTTTGGACCTCATCTAAACCAAGAGGGATCCACATCCTCACTGACATGCATATCATTTGGACATTTCTACATTGCGAGTAAATTACTCACCAATGCGACTAAATTTTGCGACAGGTGACTACATTTCTATTGATAGCAATTGGCTAATCAATTGAGTGAGTTAGATGCTAAGAATAAGTTTTGCACAGATATATTTTCACTCACCTACACTTGAACACTATGCATGTGAGAGTTTCACTATTCCTATGGATGTGCAGCATATTCTGAAGCATCATAAACTGACTTAGTATAGGTAAATGGTTCTTTCCTGTTTTTTTTTCCGTTGCTTTGTTAAATCTGTTTGAGCGAACACAGACAGCATGATTAATATTCATTAACCCAGCAGCCCATCAGACCTTAGTAAATTTTATAATATTATTAGTTGCAGAATTCACAGTAGTATTATTGTTTTGTTTGTTTTTTTGTTTTTTGTTTTTTACAGAAATACTGAATGACAATATCTCAAGTAATAGTTCCAAGTAAAAGTTCTGTTTAATATGACATATGCATTCATACATTTTCATTCATACATGATTGAACGTTAGAACTAAAACATGACAATCTTTAAAAAAATGCAAGATTGACTGATGTTTTGTTAAATGTGTAGTTGCTTTCAAATCATATCACATAAATGTACCTTTGTAAAAGCTCTTCTATTTTCTGAAGATAAGCTGATTTTTATATATATTTATAAATATTTATTTACTAGCCAATGGCAATTTGATTGCCAATTTGTGTGTAGAGGGTTGACTTCTTAAAAATCCAAAACTTACATTGAATAAGCAGTTTCGAGTCATAATTAGGGACCAGAATATCACTTGTGAATGGGTTCTTTGACTTGGGCCAATTAGCAATGACCTACTAAACTACCAAAATACCCTAAAAACCACATAGCAACATAGAAAACACACTCTGAACACATTAGCAATCACAAAGCAACAACATGGCAAACATCTACAACACCCGGACAACATGCCAACAACTTTTGAATGGGTAAGTGAACTTATATCATAAACTAATATGAATAATCAGTGCAAGGATTCTACTTTAGCAACTACTTTATTCTTTGTGCAAGTGGAACAATTGACCATTTTACAGAAACACAATTAGAGGCTGTGAAATGAGTACATGCTTCATTCCAGGAGAGGAAGATTGCCATTTCTGCATATTTGAATCCACTAGAAGGCAATCACTGAAATATGCAAAAATTCATGAGAAAATAAATGTAGTGGAAAATTTGGTGCATATCTGCAATCAAGTTTCATGTGCAGATCTAGGAAGAAAGAAGGGAGCTAAGGCAAATCAAACTGATATTGAGTATCAACTGTTTCTCAATGAGGTTTCAAAAAGCACTCAAAAACATGCTTGAGTAATAGCATGTATCAAAATGAGACAGATTATTGGAAGTGTCAATACAGTTACTGATACAGAGAAAACATCTGCATTTGCTTTTAAAATGTGTCGATCCTCTGCGATCACTCTTTAAGAAGTGCTATATACAAGTCATTTTCCACTCACAAGCATTGGAAAAGTGCCTTTCAACTGCTTTCAGGCCTGTTCTGACAAATACATGGACAACAATTGGGGAAAAACCATACTAAACGCATAAAATAGAATGAAATTAACCATATAATTATCTTTTATATAGCCCAGTATTTGCCAAAGGGATTTCCTTGCATTGAAAGAAACAACAGTAGTATAATATTTTTTCATTTACACATGATATCCCTAGACTTTATTTAAACATCCATGTACTCTTCAACCTTGCACAATTCCACTGATTTGCTTCAACCCTTCAAAACCATGACCTTTCTCCAACCTCTAAATGCTGTGAACTACAGTAGACGACACGCTCCTGCATGCACGTAATTCTCTGCATTAGGGCTGCACGATAAATCGCATGCGATATTTAACGCGCATCTTGTCAGAAAGCCGGTTCTGTAATCAGCGGTAAATCTCCATCACGTGCGTGCTTTCACACTGAGCAGCATTAACTACACAGAGCCGTTGTTCTCTGACGAGCTGCGCAAAAAATCGCGCGAATATGAACGTGGTTTTGCGCAGCTCGTCAGTGAACAACGGATCTGTGTAGTTCGTTAAATATCGCATGCGATTTATCGTGCAGCCCTACTCTGCATCCTAAAATTCGGGCATAATTCTAAAAGAACCAGTCATTTTCACATAACACACCCTCAATTCAATTTAAACAGACTACTAAATGTTGAGTCATGACATGCAGAAAGAAAGAAAGAAAGAAAAATCAATGTAGCCAGCAGTGCAAACAGTTGATAATTGCGAATGGAAGTAGGGGGTGGGAGTGCAAACATCATTTGTTAAGGTGAAACAGTACAGTTCCACACTACAGACAAGAGTCGGGTGGCAGAACCCTGCCAAAAGCAATAATTGATCATTTACATGCAAATAGAGAAAGCAAAAAATGGGCTCAATCTAAAAAACAGTAAGCGTTTTGAAGTGCCGCGTCGCACAGGCATCCAGCATAATCAATTCTCACTCTGAAGGAACCGTTTTTCTCAGCCGGAGATAATGTGCCACACTATGGGTTGTCAGATACTTATCAGAGGGAAATTAGCTAAGGAATACTCCCCACCCAAAAAACAAACAGATCAAGTGTTCCACCTCCCAAATCAGTGATATCATCAACTGGAGCTCCAGAGTAAATGTCAACAATTGAGATGATTTGAGCACAGTTCCTTCCAATTGGTCATTTCCAAAAATGTCCTGGGGATATAGCAGAAACCGAATACTGTATAAGAATGAGTCCTTCTGTTGTGTAGCCACTTCTGCAGCACACTGCAAAGCCATTTAGTGCTGAAGAATGCGTCAAATCTTCAGGGATGATCTGATTAAAACACTTATTTTGCATTTGCTTTAAAATACAGGACAGATTTCAAAGATTTTCCATCTGAGAAGTTTAACAAAAATGTGTCATTTAACTAGCTTTTTTTCTTATACAGCTTCACTTAAGCTGAAAAGTGTCATTTTTCCATTAACAATTCCATTAAAAATTGTTAAAAGTGTTAAAATACTTTCTGCAGCTTAATATGCAGAGACAACAAGTAAGCCATTTGCAGGATGAATCTCCTGTGGCACTATCAAACATCGCTCTGTTTGTCTAAAAATCCCAACCAGACTAACACAGCAACACTGGTTCAGCCAACAGAGTGCGTTTGGGGCTGAACTATCTGTTCATCAATAAAAGACAGGAGTGTCATTATTTTTGATTCTAGCATACAGAAATAACCAGCTGTACCTTTAATGAAGCAGACAACAGTCTTCTTCTAAAAACCCCTTTGGCTCAAATATCTGTGCATAAACAGAGCCCAAGTGAAAGGGTACTAGTTGCATTAAAAGGATAACTGTGCAGAAATGCATACAATGCCCAGGTCCAGGTTCATGCCTGTCAGAGAAAAGTCCATCCAGATACAGATCGAACAAAAAGAAACTTGGATTTCTGTTTAAGAGAAATGTTTTAACATACTCTGTTACTGTAATATTAAACAATTGAATAATTTTCAAAGAAGCAAACATGAGTTTCTAATTTAAAAAGATGCATCAATCAAAAATATTCAGAATATTAAAAAATAAATGCTTCAAATTATTTTAAAATGTCTGTCAGTGGCTAAGTTCACATATCAGGTCTTGTTTGTGTTAGTCTTGACTGTAACTCACATTCATGTTTGTTAAGTGACCTATATCTGTCATCAGTGTGAACAGACCGTCGCTCTGAAAGGAGTCACACACATTATCCACAATCTCAAAAAAATTACCATTATTATACCATATAAATTACCATATAAAATTTGTTGCAAACAATAAAACAACCATTTTAGAATCTTTCTGTCATTTTGTTTACTTTTTTATGACAGCAGCGGCTAATAGCAAGTTACCACAGTTTTACCACATGATAATTTAGTGGAAACTGTGGTTACAATTGTAAATTTTTGTAAGGACATGTATTTATAAACC